TGTATGTGTTTCGCCGCACGGCTTCTGATATCAAATTGAAAAATTTTGTTTGAATTTCTACACACACTCTTACAGATTTTGACAGTTTATGCCGCCAAAGCAAAAACAAAATACATGTAAATTTTTGTTTTTGTACTCCTGCTATCACCTTATATTAATTCGCCTTGTTTTATACAAAACAAACCGTGAATTCGCCACCTTATATTATTCGCCTTGGTGGTGCTGATGGCGAATTTAGATTTTCGCCGAGGTATATCCAAGGCGAATTTATACAAGGTGGTGTTGATGGCGAATTTAGATTTTCGCCGAGGTATATCCAAGGCGAATTTATACAAGGTGGTGTTGATGGCGAATTTAGATTTTCGCCGAGGTATATCCAAGGCGAATTTATACAAGGTGGTGTTGATGGCGAATTAAATTTTCGCCACGGTACTACTAAATGTCAAAATGATGTGTTTGTTGTAAAATGAATTCGCCTTGTTTACAACAAACACATCATTTTGACATTTAGTACAATAGTAGTTTACAATTTGGTGGTGGCTTTTTACTGCAATTTTCTTAATTTTCGCTTGTGACAACGTGTGCACACATAAGGTAAAGAATAATTTAACACAACGACATGATTTATAGAAGAATTTGCATAATAAAAATGATTATTCATGCGTTCAACAATTACGCGGTTTTTTTTTTGTTCTCTTCGTTGTTTACTTCTTCCAACAAAGATGTGCGTGATCTTGTGTCTTTCGTTCATGGTAACCAGACATTGAACAACCGGCCCTAAATGGGAAGCAACGAAAATGCCAAAAGCAAAGCTAGAAAGTTGAAACGACTTCCCAACGGTACAGTGGATTACGATCCATCAATATTGTGTGCTACACCGTCAATAAATATCGCGATGCTTGGATTACGTCAATAAATATTGACCGTGTGACAGGGCCCTTTGGGAAACGAACACCGATGGGCACTGTCACACGGTCAGTATTTATTGACGTGATCCAAGTATCGCGATATTTATTGACGGTGTAGCATGCAGTATGGATGGATCGTGATCCATATCGCAAAATTTCTAAAAATTTTAAAATCTGGATTGCGGATGGCAATACCATCAATAAATATTGAACGTGTAGCACTTTCAAAACGCGATCCATACATTTCGTCAGTACATCTTTTACTCTCATAATGCGAACATTGGCTCTGCCTTCGCTCACGGGGCTTAAAATCTTGCAAAACAAATTTTAATTAACATTGGAAATTTTAAAATAATTGTGGAATGCAGTATCTGTAAATTATACGTACAAAATGAAAATATTTTCTTGCGTCATAATAAGCTTTCAACACAAAGGCCCCTATTGCGAGTGTCGACTGGCAGTAGAATAGAAATTTGTCGATCGAGTCGATCATCTTTTATTTTGCTATTGTGTAACTTGATCGATAAAAATTTGTACTATTGTGAATGGTCGATAGAATTGTAAACAGCTGTTTGTTTGTTTACATTTGTTTCTTGAGTGTTTTATTTACATCATTTTTAAAATAATTGCTTTTATTATAAAATTAAAAAAATGGACACAGTTGAAATATGGTTTAGTGATGAAGAAGATGATGCCGAAGCTAATAGATTAGTAGAGTTAGCTAAAGCAAGGAGGGAATTGCGAGATTCGTCGGATCCCTTGGACTTGGAAGGTGTATGTACATGTGTGAGTTTTATGAATAGAAGTTGCGTTCCCGATGCTTCACAGTTTTTAGGCTTTACATGATTTGCAGGAAAAGCTGTTTTCCTCATTAATAAACTTTATGGAAGTTTAAGAAATACGGTACGGTTAAGTTTTTTGTACAATGATGTTGGGTTTTTGTGTCCAAACGCGTGACCCGAGTTTAAAAACTTTAACATAACAAGTGTATTGAAAGAATTCAACTTTAATTTAAAATAAAGATTTCAAATTTCCGAGCACTAGTCAATTAATAAATTATGCAGTTTTTTTGTATAAACTTTTGATGTTGGTTCTGCGCAAAAACACTGTGGATGGCGTAGCCGGAGTTATATGCACAAGAAATATTGTATATGTATCTTTTCCAATAGAAGCGGAGCTTCCTACCCTACTCTTTCCGGAAATTCCTTTGCCTATGTCTTCACTCTCCTGCATCAGTACGAACAACCGCGCAAGTTGCCTTTTGTTGCTTATAATTTTTGATCTGTAATTCAGACACATACATGCATATGTATATTTCACAATTTTTTACAACTTCCAGTTCAATTGACTTACTTTTTATCCATTATAGTACCACTTTCTTATGTAAATTTTATAAACGCAAACTCCAACGACTAAAAAACAGCAATAGAAGGATGAGCGATTAAAAAGTATTCACAGTCGCTAATTGAGCGACTAAGCGACACTCGCAATAGCATCGATAATGGATAATCGCTTAATAGTCGTTTATCTACTGCCAGTCGACATTCGCAATAGGGGTGAAAAATTATGCAAATACTGACGCGATAAATATTGAACATGTAGCATTCGTGCGCGAGCCATCAATCCATCGATATGGATGGCGATCCAAATATCGTGATAATTACTGACCGTGTGACAGAGCCCGATGGAAAGCAAATGTCAAGGCGCGCAAATGTCATTTGAATTGGCGCCAAGAAAAGAAAACAACGTTTTGGTGCTTGCGCAGAGCATTGGCGAGCGAAGCTGCTCCAATTATTAATTTCTTTGCTGAGTTTGCATTAAATAATTTTTAAATTATGGTACTCAAAGAAAATAAGCCCAATAAGGCACCAGTTGTGAAGTGGATCGGTACCAACGAAAGCATAGTTGATGTGCCTAGATTGGCTCATAAAGAAGTGAGCTTTTATCGAAAGTGTATTTTTGAAGATTTAACGCTTAGTTTGGGTGACTTTGTACTTGTGTCCAATGCTGATGCTGCTGAGCCTGATACGGTAGAAGGCTGTGACATTGGAAAAATATTGTATCTGTATGAACTGCATGACGCTGTCGATCGTGATCCGTACCGGGCCATTGTTCAGTGGTACTCTCGTCCTGAGTGTGTGCCACACAAAGAATTTGATCGAGACGATCTTTGTATTGATTTCAATTCGGAACTGATAGAAGAACACCGCCCTTATGACCCAGATATTTCACTAGAAACAATTTTTCGTAAATGTATCGTTTTGTTTGGTGGAACTGAGGAGTGTGCCAGCGCTATTCTACATAAATACAAAGCAAAACGGAACGAGTGTCCAATGTTTGTGTGCCGATATAAGTTTATTAAAGATAAAAACTCATACAGGCTGGTGCCATTGGAATGGAATACCGATGATTTGACTGCTGCTGGGGTAAAAACCCGTGGACGCAGGGATTCGCCGACTACTACCAAGAAAACGAAATCGGCACGCGTAGCTAGAAGTGCATCAGTACGTAAGCAAAAGGTTGATGCCGACGTAGCAGTTAGAAAGCGTAGAGCGTCCGTTGCTGCTGCGACGGCATTGGAGTTCATTGACTGCAACGTTTACGAAAGAGCAGACAAAGTATCGCCTATAAAAATAGTTGGTGGAAGAAATGTGGTACGCTTGTCAGCGAAAAAGAAAATTGCGGCACGAAATGAGGCAATTGGTGGCTTCACTCCCACATCGCCACTCACCGAACGCAATAGGAAAGTGACAACACCAACAACACGTGTCTCAGCTGCTCGTCGTAATCTAAATTTGAGTTTGGATAATGGCGCTGACACCAGTGTAGAATCTGATTGTCTTAATTATTCTATAGTTAGAACACCAACAACTGAAGAACCGACCAGCGAAATGAAAATCAAATTTAGATTGTCCGCAAAGTAATTGTTAACAAGTAATTTTTAAGCAAAAAACAAAACCGACTTCAATTCTCATATAAAAATTTAAGATTATCGTTAATTTCTGAAGGATCCAATGATTGGATTTAAACCAAACTATGTGGTAACTTACTGACAAAAAAAAATTGCGACGAACTTTTTGTGAAGTCGGTTAAAAATTTAATGGGGAAACTTATTTAAAAATTTTCTAACAAATATCTATTTTTTAGACAACAAGCTTCTAAGCTTGCAGCCATGGACGAGAAATTCAACGATCCACTTTCCATGAATGTAGTAGAGCATACAATCAAAAACACACCGGAGGAAATCTATTCCACCCCCACCAAGAAATCGAAAAGAGTTAGCGATGATACAGATATGACGCCATCTACACGACGCAAAAGTATACTAAAATCAGCCACAAGACAGCAAGGTAGATTAACTATAACCTTTTTCAGTTTGAATTGTTATAACGATTTTATTTTAGTTGATAGCACGCCAAAACGAAGTATTCAACTGTCGGATATTGTTGAAAAGAGAGTATTCAACGATGAAGATTACATTTCCACACCAAAACGTAAGCCAAAAGGAGATGACAATGATATTAAACGATCGGCACTTAAAAATGCGGCAATCATTCGTCGTCGCAATTCTACTACAGCTGTAGCAGGTGCGATGACTCCTTCGCAAAAACTCAAACTGATGCGCCGTGGTGAGTTATCACCAACAATGGAACATAGGCAAACCTCTGTTTCGACTGAAGCTCGACGAAAATCGGATTTACAACTAGCACGAGAACGTTTACATGTTTCTGTGGTACCACAAAGCCTTCCATGCCGTGAAAAGGAATTTGAAAATGTGTACGCATTTTTAGAAGGAAAAATTCTAGATCAATGTGGCGGCTGCATGTATGTGTCAGGTGTGCCTGGAACTGGGAAAACAGCAACAGTTACTGGTGTAATACGCGCGTTGCAGTGTAAACAAAAAGATGATGAACTGCCCGCTTTTGAGTTTGTTGAAATCAATGGTATGCGATTAACGGAACCACGGCAGGCATATGTACAAATCTATAAGCAATTAACTGGTAAAACTGTTTCCTGGGAACAAGCACATTCGCTGCTTGAAAAGCGTTTCACCACATCAGCACCGCGTCGCATTCCTACAGTGCTTTTAGTTGATGAATTAGATATACTGTGCAATCGACGTCAGGATGTTGTATACAATCTACTGGATTGGCCCACAAAATCTTCCGCACGCTTGGTAGTGGTGACTATAGCTAATACAATGGATTTGCCAGAGCGCCTACTAATGGGTAAATTGCACACAGTTGTAATTAACTTTTCTTTATTTAATATTTTTTATATATATAAAAGGCAAGGTAACATCGCGTCTTGGGCTAACACGTCTTACCTTCCAACCTTACACACACAAGCAATTGCAAGAAATAGTGACAATGCGTTTATGTGGTTCAGATGCCTTTAAAAGTGATGCTGTTCAACTTGTAGCACGGTATGTATCGTACATACGCATATGAGTGTATAACAATAGCCGTCATCGATTCGCCCCTACTCTGCTCGCTATGTTTAAGTTCCGGTCGCTTAAAGAAGTATTTTGCATGTGAAAGCAACAACAAAGTTAGCTGGCATGGATAGACGATAGCTAGTTTGGTTGTACCTCATTGAGTTTGTTCCGTTTCGCCACTCGCTACCTGTTGGCGAATCGATAACGGCTAAAAAGTATTTAAACATACTTCCGATCTATTTTTTCATTACAGTAAAGTGGCTGCAGTTTCAGGTGATGCTCGACGTGCCTTGGACATATGTCGGCGCGCTACCGAAATCGCAGAAGCAGCCATACTTCCTAGGGACAGTGACAATTCTACGCCAGTTCAAAAATTTGTTGGCATTGCACATGTGCAGCAGGCACTTTCGGAAATGATTGCTAGCGCAAAAGTACAAGCAATAAGGAATTGCTCACGCATGGAGCAACTCTTTTTGCTGGCTGTGCTCGCCGAAGTGACTCGTACAGGAGTCGAGGAAACGTCCTTCTTAGGTGTTTACTCACAAGTCGAAAATTTAGCACCTTTCGAAGGTATAACTGCACCATCGCCAGGACATTGCTTGCGCATTTGCTCAAAGTTGTGTGCTGAACGTCTACTCATTGCCGAAAGTGGTCGCAATGATATTTTCCAAAAGATTCTACTTAATGTTAGCGTCGACGATATACACTATGCCTTACGTGTAAGTGGCATTTAAGCAAACATAAAAATAAATTTCGCAATGATGTTTTCCAAAAGATTCTACTTAATGTTAGCGTCGACGATATACACTATGCCTGACGTGTAAGTGGCATTTAAGTAAACATAAAAATAAATTTCGCTTTTTTAATTTATGACTTATGTCTTTTTTAATGTTTAACACGAACTTATCACCCCACATTAATTATAGCGCATTAACTAATGTTACTTATTGAAAATGTACAAATTTATTGTTGTCATTAAAAATGTTAATAAAAGCACAACGACTCTGTAAAATTCATAAAAGGCTTTCGGCGCGAATACCGAGTAGATAAATAGATGATATCGAAAAAATAACAGTAACCAAAAGTATCCCAATACTGGAACAAATATACTTAACGTGTAGAAACAGAGAATGAAATTTATGCGATCATCAGAAAACGATTGACTGATTTTTCTAATATTATTTTCATGCAAAATATGCATAATGAAATACAGAAATGCAATAAATTGAGCAGAGTACATATTGAGTGTTACAAGGATGCCCACAATGATTGGATTATATGCAGTTTGACCAACGTAACCAGGATTAAGATCAATAGTAGCAAAACTATTTGAATTGCCCTGAAAAAATTTAATTCGTAAATATGAAAAGCTATGTAAGCCACTTACCTGATAAAAGTAGAACATATTTGCGACAAATATAGTACACAGGACTTTTGCTAAGAGCTTGTGTGTACGTAGAATTATATCTAATCTGTCACACAACTCATAAGTCATTGAAAGAGTGTATATCGCATAAGCGACTAGAACCGCGTTGTGCGGTTTATGCAGCAGTAGCGAAATCATAAGTAAAGAAGTAAGTAGAATATTGTTGCAACCTGTTGAGTAGGTGCGCGTTCGGAACCGGTTCAGTCGTTTCGAGTTTACTATCACAGTTGATAAGCCAAGGCAAGTGGTAATACCGACAATGAGCCAAAATATATTCAGAATAATGTTATCACTGAAATTATATAACGATGAATAGAATCAGTTTAAAATATTTGGCAACTTATCAAAGAGTTTTAAAAAGGCACTGGCAGCTTTTTTTTTTTAGTGACTCACCAACAGCTTGTGTCAAACACAAAGAGAACACGTCCTTTAGAAGCCCGATAGCAATAAATCAGCATTGCAGCTAAAGAATAAGCCACAACTTCTTTACGGGTTTGAACGAGTGCCTGTTGGCGTAGGCACAACGAAAATAGGGCAAGTCCTATGAAAATTAAAGTTCAATAAATATGTGAAACGCTTAGAAATATGGTTTATACGCACCAGTTGCAAACAGACAGCTTAACAATGCCTTAGAATTTACTTGATTAATGTAAGATGCAACAAGGTTAAAACGTGCTAAAATTCCCAAGCCGGCAATCGTTAGCAATGAATAGCGGGATTTTAAAATCTTCATAAATAAAATTTTCGATAATGCTGCGCTGCCGACACACATTTCCGGTTTGTTATCCCACAAGTCTCTACTGAAGCTTCGCAGGTACAGCAAAATTAATGCACTCGTACCTAGATAGTGCCAAGTTTTTTCTTCACCTTCGATGAATGACGAAGATGCCAATGATAACGTTTGGAATATTAAGCAACCCAAAAGCGCCCAGGTAAGGCTTGGAAGTGATATCCTGATATCTTTGCCAGCATAAAAATTGCTCCAAAAAAAGTTGACTATATTTACTATTAAGTAAACGAGTGTCACTATTGCCAGCAAAAGCCCAAAGTTGCTTGCAGTGCCAATAGCAGTAAGGTAACGTTGGTGGTAACACCATTTATATATGCATACGGCAATTGCAATAACGCCAAGGAATGTGCATTTTCCGGTAATAAAATTGTGCTCCTTTATATTGTAAAATATCACCAGTGTTTGTAAAACCACCTAAAACGAAGTAGTAAAAAAATTTTACATAAAAAAAATGCTTGACATATTCACGTTTATTTTTATTCACTACCAATGTGGTTAGCAGTAGCCCCATGGTAATGAGTCCATAGTCGAATCGCACCAAAGAGTCGGATAATTTTTCAGAAATTTCCCGTGACACCCGTAAATAATGCACTTTGGCATCTTCGAAAATAAATGCATTGCCAAAGTTCTCACTTCGTTTGAGATAAAGGAAACGTTTATGCGCTGACTTGGCATGTTCAAACCATTTTCTTTTAGCTGAAATTTTTTAAAAACACACCATAAGCAAATAAATTTAGTGGTGGAAGAAGTATACTCACAACTGGATTGCATATATTTTTGACCGAATTTTCTCTCAACTTTCCGCACTAAATGCAAAGCATTGTAATAATACGCGTACAGTTGATCTTCGAAAGATAGGTCAGATAAGAGCTCAGGAATCAAACAACCGATAGACATTGGTGGTATTTCTATAGACCACAATAATGCTAATGTAGGTGCTACGTCAATTTGATGATACTCTTTAGAATTGATACTAAAATGTTTAAATTAACTAATTTTCATAATTAAATATGTTTTACGCAAACCTTGAAGTGCTACAGTTTTCCTTGAATACAAGTAAGGGCACATACATTTCGCCATAAGTGCTGCCTCCATGTCCACCCCCATCCTTCATACCATGGTCACCAGTCAATAGGAGTAGCTGCCTGTGAAAGCTCTTTTTATCAAATTGTAAATCAATTTCCATCAATAAAAATTGGATTTGATTATTACATACTTTTGTTGTAGAAACTTTTTGCACGACTTCATCCATTTCATTTAACTTTAATGGAATTTTTGGACTTTCACTGCCTTCTACATGTCCAATATGGTCCAAACCTAGATAATGTAGCACTAACAACATCCAATCTGTTTGCTGAAGCTCATTAGTTAGTACCTCGGTAACATTCTTGTCGCCCTACGCATAGGATGGCTAACGTTTCAAACATACAAAAATACTCGCCGTAGTGTACATATTTATATACCTACCTCAAAAAAGTCGTTTACAAAAAATGAATCCAAATTAGCTGTAGAGCGTTTAAATTGTTTGGGGAATAGGCTTATCCACGTGCGATCACCAGCGAAAACCGTAGTTTCATTACGTTCTTTTAGGCGATGCAGTAGTGAATCTGACAGCTGTTCGACATGACCAATGTTTAGGATGATGTCAATGAAGTTGGAAACGGTACCAGTTGTTAGGCTTTTAAGGCGAGGCATAGTCACGGTAGGTATATTGACTCTCAATTTAAGTCTACTGCACGAGTTTTTGTAAGAAAATGGCATACTCATTGGTGTAGGAAAATCTGAGCGCAGTGCATCCACTAACATAAGTATAGTCTGAGCATAAACTTGAGCCGGCGGCTTCAATCTGCGTGTGAATACAGGCATAGCTATATATATACTTTAGATGCTTAGTGAACTTATAGACTTGACTTACCTCAACTCGTCCAAATTTTGTGGGCGGCCCTCTCCTGTACCATGTTCTGCGGAATAGTTATTTATTGGAAAGAAACCAATCAAAAAAATAGTTGCACCAGAAACAAATGTAATTATCATCCATAACAAAACCAATTTGATGTATGGGGTTTCCTCATGCATGTATGCATTTCTAAACATTTTTTAGTTTATAATCACGAAAATCACGATGGTATTTTCACGGAAATCATCCAATACATTGTAGGGACGGCAAAGTCGACTTCGACTATCGACCAAAATCGACTTTTTACTCCTGAAAGTCGAATTTTAGTGATCAACTTTTAGTTTATGGAAGTCGACTGAAGTCGACTTTTCACTTTCGACTCTCGACTTTTTTTGATTTATTTGCATATAAAAACTGATCTTCTAACAAAGGCTCGGAGTGCTTTTTGGCCGTAACCTGCAAAAATCGTTGGACCATGTAGTCTATTTGTGGTATATTGGAGTACTTACAAAAGTGCTCCTATGTCACGCTGTAGCGGACCAACTCGTGTCTCTGCACCAGCTTATTGTTACCCGATCACTGCTCGTGTTTTAACGAAATGTGATTGAAGTTAAGCATTTGTAAGTACATTTGCATGTCTGGCTGTAGCTAAACGTGTAGAGATGCTAGCTATTAGTTCTTAGCTCCCAGCATGTTCGGGTTCGAATGTCGTCAGAGGCAACATGTAATTTTTAATTTTTGTTTTTGGTTTTTATTCATTTCAAAAAAAGCATCTGCGAGGTGAAGAACAAAAGCGTGTACAAACGAAAAAATATAACAACAATGTCATTGGAGTATGTTAGGAGTTGTTTTGTGCTACTCTGATGTAATGCAGAGATGGAGTATATGCTCCTGCCCTAGGACATCGCAATGTTAATTGGACCATATTTTTTATATGAATTGTGGTTAATTTTGGAGTACTCCTTGGTCCTTCGGGAGTACTCTTTACATGCATGCATGGAGTAGTCGCGATTTTCGCAGGGTATTTAAAAAAAATTGCCAATAAAACTGAAGTGAAATTTGAAAAGTGTGGTAGATAAATGAATTTTAATGACAGTACAACAACATCGTCAAATCATTTAAGAGCAGCGCATTAAATTACTATATGAAAACAAATTCCTCAAAATTTGTTAATCGTTTGTCTCCACAATCTTCAGTTAATAATGAGTTAAGATAAACATAGGTATTTATTTTAAAAATTTCATCCAAGAAAGTTTTTCTGCATGAGTTTATGTAAGTTTCTACAGAGAGTCTTTGGTTCGAATTTGACCAATCCGTAAGGTACAACATTTTAAACACCGCTAAAAACGTTGCTGGTAGGATTCCAGTTAATATGCGACATTAGTCGTGTGGATAGTCCCAATCCACTAGCTGTCTGGGCTACTCCCATATTTATCCATGCTTATAAAGTGGCACTATATTTCTACCAATACCCGCCAATTCTGCTCCATCGGAAGGCCACATGTTCAAAAAGTTTTCCGTAATTACCAAATATCGATTCAAAAAGAGTTTAGATTTTTTTTGTGAAAATTTAAAAATTTTTTTTTCAAAAATTGAAAACGCGTCAGGTGGTCTAAAAACTTCGTAAGTAGAAATAAAATACGTCTGGCTTCTTCTTCTGTTCGCAAGATTCTGCCGTTTTATTTCTAAAGCTGATGTCACATAAAACTTTTGCTTCGCTTTACGTGACAGATTCGCTTTGACAGATAAGGTGAATTGTATGAAAATGCACAAAGCATGCCACATAAATCGTTGAAGCGGCAGCGCGAAGCGAAAAGATGGTCAACTCCCATCTTTTTGCGCGCTTTGACAATCAGCCGGTTTAATATTTATTTTGTTTCGTCCAAATTCGGGTTTTCATGCAGAAACATAAAACTTAATTACATTGCTGATAATTTTAAATCAAAATAATTAAAATCCACAGCAACTTTGATGAGTAAAAAAGCGGTACAACATTGTTTTCTTGGCGTTCATTGTGGCATACCTTTTGCGTCTGGCGCTTTGCTGGCAAAGTTATAAATGTCACGCAAAGCTACAAAGTTTTAT